GATCGATATAACAGCCTGAGATGAGAGTGAGAGGACGTGAATGGTGGAGGTGAGGCTGCTTGGATAGGTTTTACACTTTGTTTTTATATCAATATAAGAAATTATATGGTGTGGGAAGGTATATAGTATGAAAACTAAGTATTTTATTTCTAGATGGTCGGACGGTTCCAATCTGGAACCGATCCCGTTGGCCTAGCGGATTTTTTGAACATTTTTCAAATCCAAACCGAACCAAATTGAAAAAAACTAATCCAAACCTCTCGGATTGGACTGGACCTGATCCGGATTTAAACGGATTTTGTAGGATCCTTGTCGACCCTATGCGAATCAGCAGGGGTTGGGTGCGCACGGTGTGGAGAGTGCCCCAAATCTGCCCATAGGAGTCCAAAAACTGGCGAGCATGCAGAGGAGAGAATACAAGAAGGTGAAGGCATGCAGGAGAAGGACGGGGGTCAGGTGGGACGAACTCGTCAATTCTCAGCCTTTGTTTTGGACGCGGGGTGGGTCCTCCAGCCAGAGTCGTGGAGATTGGGGCGAGCTGAATTAAAGAGGTGGTTGAAAGAAAGCGCAAGAGGCTAGGATATGGGGCCATCCTCGCCAAAGCCAGTAAGTTCAAAGAGTCCTAGGAAGACGATCGTTAAGAAGGATTGCAGGGCAGAGGGATCCGAACCTCGCCGCCAACCCGTGAGGAAAAGGACTTAGGTGGATTCGTGCCCGGATCGCTCCTAGTAAAGAATCCTTTGAAGGAGAGGGTTTTCGAAGGAGATGCAGGTGAAAAGGGCTCGTGGTAAAGAAAAGTACGGAGAGTAGAAGAGAGGAGTGAATAGAGAGCTTGCGTGAAAAGGGAGGAGGGAAGTGAATAACAGAAGCAGACCAGTATGGCAATGGAGGCAGAGAAAGGGAGGAGAAGAGAGAGAGAGAGAGTATGGTCGTAAGATAGAGATAAGGGAGATCGCCTCGGAGTAAGAGGCATTGGTCGTCCTAATAATGGGAGATCGTCAGAGGTGGCGAGGGTCGCCCACGAAGTGCAAGTAGAAGGTAGGGCAACTATTACCGAGCACCCAAGGGGAGAGAACCACGCCCAGGAGGGGCCAGAGAGAAGGGGGGTGTCAGGCTGACGAACCAGGATCCTACCCAACGCTTGCCGTAGCTGGTGGGCGAGCTGGAGGTAGAAGAAGGCCCAGCCAGGGGCAGGGCAGATCGCCTTCTGGGGATCGTGGATGAGGCACCCTTGTGCTCAGTAGCCGATTCAATGAGCTAAGTTGCTGAGGGGGTTATCTGCTTGCTCAAATGGCAGGTAACCACCTTAGCAAGAGCCACTGCTTCGATGGGAAGGCGGCGGCTGCAAAAGATGAAGGCAGAACGAAGGGAAAGGCTCAACTTGCAAGTTTTGAGGAGGAGCGTGCAGGCTGGGCGAGTGCCCATTCTGCCTGAGCTGCGAGCAGTCCAAGTTGGAGCTGGGAACGCACAGACCGCCAGGTTTGTCGCTCGAGTTCCAACTGGCGAGCGATAGAAAGATGGGAATGCTCAAAGGACTGCGCGAGCACTGAATATACGATTTGAGGAGGCTAATGAACCATCAATGAAAATCTGCGTGCCCAGCAGATAAGGAAAAAGAAGACACAGACTTGGAGTTGCTTGGGACTGCAGAAGGGCTGGAAGATGAGCGTGTTAAGGCATGGAGGGGAGGGAGGGCCTGCCGAAGGAGTTTTGCAAGGAAAAGAAGGGCCAAGGTGGCCCTGCTGAACAGGGCGGACTCTTGCGGAAGCAGTTGGGCAAGAGGAGGGGCTAAGGCAGCCTCTGAAAAGGGCGACGCCCGCAGAAGGAGTTTGGAGGGAGGAAAAGGGCGCCAGTGCAGCTCTGTAAGGGCGGCATACCCTGCATCTGTGGTGTTGAGCAAAGTGGATCAGTTCAAGGGGTCTGCTGAAATTTTTCAGATGGCAGTTTGATGCCTCGCGCGGTCACTAAGCAGCTTGGCGAGGGAGGAGTCTGGGGGGGGGCGGTGCCCTCCGGGATGACTGCTAGGGGCAAGGATGAGGCAGAAAGTTTTGAGGCTTCTCCAGCGGCCTGAACTTTAATAAACACAAAAGGCCTGGAGTTTGGACCGTGGTTGAAGATGTTCAACGGCGTAAAGCTTCTCCACTTAGACCTAATATATGTAAAATTGACACATCGATGATGTGGCCAGACCCCCTGGATGAAGGGTATTGAAGAAGAAAGACCTCGATAATCCGCTGAGGAGAGTAATGAAGAAGAAGAAGAAGAAGACTTGTACTTGAGTTGTTTTTTGTGTGTTTGTTTTTGTTTTTGAATGTTACATGTAATGACTATTATGTCAATTTTAAAGAATAAATAATTTCAGTTTGTAGTTTTCCCTTTCGAATGTCTGTCTATTTGTGCATCTGAAATGAATAAGAATGGTGGCTTTGTGTACATCTGGCAAAGTGGGTAAGTTGTGATAAAACTAAATTTAAGAACTCCCTCAAATTGACGTGGAAATGAATCTTATAAAACTACACTGCAAGAGTAAAAAGTTAAAGGCTCCTCAATAACAGAGTGAATTGAACTTGCTAATAAAAAACTCAGTGCGAAGATAAAGTTAAGAACTCCTCGAATGCAGGTGGAATTTAAAATGGGATAAAATTATATTTTGTGTTTGCCACCCTACTGAAGTGGGATGAGATGGTTTATTGAGTTAGGCTTGACTAGTAAGGAAAGAGTTGACTTGTAAAAGTTTGATGGAGAAGAAAATAATTTGACTAGTAAAAGGAAACATGTAAGAACGTCGTTGGAATTGAACTAAGTAAAGTGTGTAAAAACTTGGACTGGAATTGTGCCTAATGTGTCTCATAATGCCACAAGTATGCCGTGCTCAGTTGGCAGGCTAAGCTTGTTGAATTTACTGACCGTTGGCAAGTAACTCAGTCTTTAAACCTGGAATTGTGGCGGCTCATTATGGCTGAGACTTGTTATGCTGGGTCTGGCTGAGGCTTGGGTTTGGCCGAGTGAGGCTTTTAAAGCCTCAGGCTGGCTGAGGCTTTTTGGTGCTCAGTCTGGCTTGAGGTTTCGTGCTCAGTCTGGCTGAGCTGTTGGCGCTCGTCCTGGGCCGAAGGCTTTTGGTGCTCAGTCTGGCTGAGGCATTTTTGTGTTCAGTCTGGCTGAGGCTTTGGCGCTCGCGTCTGATCGAGGCTTTTGGCGCTCGGCTCTGGCCAGGCTTTTGGTATCTCTCCAGTCTGTCTGAGGCCTTTTTTGCAGGTCAGTCTGGCTGAGGCTTTTTAGTGCTAAGTCGAGCTGGTAGGCTGCTGTGCTCAGTCTGGCTGAGGTTTTTTAGTATGCTCGGTTCGGAGCTGAGGCTGCCTGGTGGGCTCAAGTCGGGTTGAGAACTTTTAGTGCTTCAGTCGGCTGGGCTGTTTAGTGCTCGGTCGGGCTGAGGCTATGTGCTCAAGTCTGGCTGAGGCCTTAGTGCTCAGTCGGGCTGAGGCTGTTTTGTGCTCAGTCTGGCTGAGACTTTTTAAAATAAGTGCTGCAACAAAATGTTATTGAGACAACACACAGATAGCTGAAATATAAAAATTGTTGTCATGGAAAGTGCGATCGTAGTTGATCAAAAATTATTATTATGTTGAGAAAAGTATGTTCATGTGTGTAAAATTTGTCAAAAAGAAAATACAATAAACTGAGCAATATAAAAAAAGTAGGATAGTTTAATTGAAAGTTTAGCGCTTCAAGTTTCAGCGTTCCAGGGTGGGGGAGTCTCGCCTTCATGTCCGAAGTTTGGTAAGTGCCATTGGATTCTAGACGGACATGGTCGGTTTTGCGTTTTCACCAACGGTATAAGAGTCCCTCCCAATTGGCTGTACAGTTTAACCTCAGAATCGGTATATATTTATTTGGGTGGAATAGTTACTGTCTATTTCTCTTTCATAAAAGACAGAGTCCCTACAAGCGAAACTCCCATTTGGAGATACTTTGCGGTTGTAAAGTGTGTTTCTCAAATGTTTTCCCTAATTGGTATGAGGCCACTCGACATAGCGATATGGTTTCTCTGAGCTATTCAACTTAAAGCTCTAGGCATCATGCCCGGAACGGGAGCTTTTCGAGTTAGAAGTTCTGGATCTGGATATGTGAACCTTGGGTAGGCAGACCAACTTCCACTGGAAATAACTGCCTAGCGCGTATTTAGCGGAAAGGGGTTTCCGCTCCAATGGGAGTCCGCAATTGCCTGTAGTTCGTTAAGTCATATTGTCAGTAGTGCATTCGTATATTCCTCAGCACCTCAAAGGCCGTTCAAGCAGCTTCTAGCATTGTTTTGATGATCTATCAGAAGAGAGGTTGGTGACCTCGCGACTTGGCGCAATTATGAGGCTTGGGGATGGACCTGAGAGGATGGAAACAGGGGTTTTGGATCTGTGAGGTCCTGCCACAGAACTTCCTATGTATTTGGGAGTTATTCGTGAATTGTTTGCTCCTGTTGGCAGACGATGCGTGAGGAATTCCCACCTGGCATAGGATCAAACTGCCAGTGATTTGGGGGTAAAACAATTTTTGAACACTATACATAGAATGATAGAAAAAAGCATGACTGTATTTTCAGAAGTTGTAAATTTATTTTTTTTTGTAGCCATTTATTTTTTTATTTTTTATTTAAATCCGTGGTCCTAAACCGATCCAATCCGTGTTTCAACGGATTGGTTCGGATTGGTTTCACAATGTAAACGGATTGGATTGGTTTTAATTTTTCAGGAACCGTAGATAATGGATTGGTCCTGGTTTTCTCCCAATCCGAACCAATCCAGTCCATGCACACCTCTAATTCGCAGACATATAGAACCACCGTGGCCTCCAACCTTTAATTGATGATGGTAGCCCCGCCACCAACCCCTTCCTGCTGCCGCCTGTAACGTCACCCAAGTCTTTTGTTGTCCTGAGGCCTTATAACATGCGAAGAATTCGTCTACTGTCATGGCCGCCCCTTCGTTCGCCTTCGGCCACACGCTTGCTCAGGCCAGTACAATCTTCCACGCGTTGGGCATTAGTTGGCCCGGTGCCACCTCCAAACAGTTCAAGACATCTACCACCACTCGCGGCAGTGGCAGCCTCAATCCTCCCTTCAATGCTTTCTCGTAAAGGGCAAACTCCCCCGGCCTTGCGTCGGATGGCCTTTCCGTTGAAATCGACAACAATAACTCTATTGCAGCAAGCACCTGGTATTTTTCGCGAATAGTCTCCAACTCCGCCGCGGTAACCGTTGATTTGTCAGCCTTCGTGTGCCAGTGATCCGGTTCCGCCTGGCTGATTGGCTTCGGAGCTGCTATCATGGTGGAAGCATGAGATCGTACCACCGGTTCCCCCACCCTCTCCATTTGCCTCTCCGTCCTATACTGCTTTGCTAACTCCACTGCGTCGTCATCACCAAGCGGATCCACTCTGACATTCATAGCTTCTTCTTGGGCCATTTTTATGGTATGTCTGCGAATCGCTTCGAATGTAGGTGCAAGGAAATTAAAAAAATGTTGCAGAGGTGTATCGTCAGTAACAAAGGAGTTAACATTTGGGATGTTTTGATTTTCGCAAAGAAATAGGTAAATCGAATAATGCCAAAAGCCCAAGGCTTGCCTGTATTCCAAGGGTCGCAATTAATTTGCGCCAGTTTGAAAACTTTTCCAAACATCCGCCAAAACTGTCTTTTCAACACCCATAATGACCTATCGTTTCATTTCTGATCCAACGCCTAATCTCCCTCCCACGAGATGTTGCCACGTGTACGACCACGATCCACTGTCTCCTCCCCTTACCTTGTCTTTTCCACTTCAAATCACCACGTGACACGCCGCCTCTTGAGCCCCACGTCCCTCCACCTTACCCTTCGCGGTCGGCCCTCCTCATGGTCAACCCTTCCACTCGGCCAACCTTCGCGGTCAGCCCTCCTCGTGGTCGGCCCTCCTACTCGGCCGACCTTCGCGGTCGGCCCTTCTCGTGGTCGGCCCTTCCACTCGGCCACGATTTGCGGTTGGTCCACCCCATGGTCCTCCCTTCCACTCGGTCCACCTCGCGGTCGGTCCACCCACTCGATCACCCCTGCCGGTCGACCTCAATCATGCCAATCTCTAACACCCTCATTCTCTTCATTAGTATGCCCTTTGTTGGACTAAAGCTGCACTCGGGAATGGGGGACTACTGACGTGGGTAAGCCCATAAAGGCCATAACCCACTATGAACAACCCAAACCCATCACTCGGAGCCCAATGCATAACCCAGCTGGTGAAGTCTAGAACAGCTGGAATCCAACGCGGCATAAAGAGCCAATGACATTCAGACATACGGCAGGTAAAGGACAAGCCCATCAGCAGACAAATATCTTCAAAGTTATTGCCACTGCACATCACCATTAATGCAGCCCATCACAGCATTTATTACGACAACACCTCTCCGTCGGAACAGCACCCCCTTACCCTGAACAAGGTAAGCTACAGCATAGATTTTCGGCCAAGATGGCAGGTCGGAAGGGACAGCGAAATGATGACCAAAGGATATAAGCAAACGTTGAAGACAAGAAGAAAGTTAAGTTTTCTATCTCCAATTCATATCTCTATATTTCATTTCTCTCCTTCTCTAACTTGTTCGTCGGAGGGTTCGCTGAGGGACTCCCCGTTCCCCATTGAACTCCTGTGCAGAGTCTCAGGTGGGCTTGGCCATTCAGATAACGGTTAGAGAAGCGTGGACTAGTCCGACCCATTCCCTCTGGAACCCGTTGTATCGTAACTGTATTATCAATAACTTCTATTAAATTAATAATTGAAATTAATAAATTATTAATTGTAATGAAAAAAAATTAATAAAAAATAATAATAATTGATGCTAATCAAGCCATTAATTGACACTAATTGATTTATAATGAAAAAATGAAATAATTTTATACTAATTGATACTATTAATAATTTTAGTATTAATTAATGTTAATTAAGCCATTAATTGACACTAATTAGTTTATAATGAAAAAAAAATTATACTAATTGATACTATTAATAATTTTAGTATTAATTGATGCTAATTAAGCCATTAATTGACACTAATTAGTTTATAATGAAAAAAAAATTATACTAATTGATACTATTAATAATTTTAGTATTAATTGATGCTAATTAAGCCATTAATTGACACTAATTAGTTTATAATGAAAAAAAAATTATACTAATTGATACTATTAATAATTTTAGTATTAATTGATGCTAATTAAGCCATTAATTGACACTAATTAGTTTATAATGAAAAAAAAATTATACTAATTGATACTATTAATAATTTTAGTATTAATTGATGCTAATTAAGCCATTAATTGACACTAATTAGTTTATAATGAAAAAAAAATTATACTAATTGATACTATTAATAATTTTAGTATTAATTGATGCTAATTAAGCCATTAATTGACACTAATTAGTTTATAATGAAAAAAAAATTATACTAATTGATACTATTAATAATTTTAGTATTAATTGATGCTAATTAAGCCATTAATTGACACTAATTAGTTTATAATGAAAAAAAAATTATACTAATTGATACTATTAATAATTTTAGTATTAATTGATGCTAATTAAGCCATTAATTGACACTAATTAGTTTATAATGAAAAAAAAATTATACTAATTGATACTATTAATAATTTTAGTATTAATTGATGCTAATTAAGCCATTAATTGACACTAATTAGTTTATAATGAAAAAAAAATTATACTAATTGATACTATTAATAATTTTAGTATTAATTGATGCTAATTAAGCCATTAATTGACACTAATTAGTTTATAATGAAAAAAAAATTATACTAATTGATACTATTAATAATTTTAGTATTAATTGATGCTAATTAAGCCATTAATTGACACTAATTAGTTTATAATGAAAAAAAAATTATACTAATTGATACTATTAATAATTTTAGTATTAATTGATGCTAATTAAGCCATTAATTGACACTAATTAGTTTATAATGAAAAAAAAATTATACTAATTGATACTATTAATAATTTTAGTATTAATTGATGCTAATTAAGCCATTAATTGACACTAATTAGTTTATAATGAAAAAAAAATTATACTAATTGATACTATTAATAATTTTAGTATTAATTGATGCTAATTAAGCCATTAATTGACACTAATTAGTTTATAATGAAAAAAAAATTATACTAATTGATACTATTAATAATTTTAGTATTAATTGATGCTAATTAAGCCATTAATTGACACTAATTAGTTTATAATGAAAAAAAAATTATACTAATTGATACTATTAATAATTTTAGTATTAATTGATGCTAATTAAGCCATTAATTGACACTAATTAGTTTATAATGAAAAAAAAATTATACTAATTGATACTATTAATAATTTTAGTATTAATTGATGCTAATTAAGCCATTAATTGACACTAATTAGTTTATAATGAAAAAAAAATTGAGTGTGGCTGAGGCTCTCTCATGCTAGTATAAGTCCATTTGCATTTTCCATGTCATTTGCATTGCGTATGCACTGCCTCGGTTTGCGTGCCTGTGTGCACGCATTTCGAGGCACCTCATTTTCTGCCATCGGCATCTTATGTGAGTGTGGCTGAGGCTCACTCATGTTAGTATAAGTCCATTTGTCATTTTCCATGTCATTTGCATTGCGTATGCACCGCCTCGGTTTGCGTGCCCGTGTGCACGCATTTCGAGGCACCTCATTTTCTGCCATCGGCATCTCATGTGAGTGCGGCTGAGGCTCTCTCATGTTAGTATAAGCCCATTTGTCATTTTCATGTCATTTCATAATATTTTGTCATCGCCTCAATTTGCGTGCCCGTGTGCATGCATTTCGAGGCACTCCTTTTTTATCCGTCGGCATCCTATGTGAGTGTGGCTGAGGCTCACTCATGCTGGTATAAGCCCATTTGTCTTTTTTCATATCATCGCCTCGGTTTGCGTGCCCGCGTGCATATATTTCGAGACACCTATCATCGCCTCGATTTGCGTGCCCGCATGCACATATTTCGAGGCACCTCATTTTTAGTTTCTCGGTTTGCGTGCCCGTGTGCACGCATTTCGAGCCATCTCATTTTCATAGCATTGTATATGTTAGGATTGCATCTTAGTTGCATTTCACGCATATCATGCATATTGCATCGTGTCCGGAATATGAGTTAGCCCGGGCACGGGAAACGAGGTATGTTTCGTACTCCGAGTGACGGAATGTGTCTCAATTCCCCAGTCACCGACACTCCGGATTATCCATGATGGAGTTAGGTTTTAGCTGTAGTTTCATGTGCATTCATCCTATATTGAGTTGTGCATTTCGACTCCTCGACCATCATGCCTCGGTATGCGTGATTGGTGGCACGAGGTATTGAACACAAGGTAGATTGGCCTATTTCATACTCAAAGTGATGAAAATGAGCCAATCTCCTTTGTCTCCATCACCATTGATCATGCATGATAGGGTGGTGGTCCTTTGAATCTTGTTTTGTGCATTTATTGAAAGTGTACAACTTGGATCTTTGGCCATCATGCATTGAAAATGCTTGATTGGTGGTTTTGGATCCAAGAATGCCACTCCTTTGATG